TCACCTGAAAGTGAAAACTGGCATTTGCATGATGCTGTTGTAGCTGGCGATGCTAAACAGTCATCTGCCCCTTCATGTTTCAGCCACCAATCCAGAGGTCAGGCTTCTATGCGGATGATGCTTGTTAGAGAAAATAATGCATGAATTAAATTTGAAATTTGTTTACATTTATGAGAGATAATGCTGCTCACTTCTTCACATCACCTGAAAGTGAAAACTGGCATTTGCATGATGCTGTTGTAGCTGGCGATGCTAAACAGTCATCTGCCCCTTCATGTTTCAGCCACCAATCCAGAGGTCAGGCTTCTATGCGGATGATGCTTGTTAGAGAAAATAATGCATGAATTAAATTTGTTTGTGGTTCGCGTTGGTGGGGGTGGGGGGGGGGGGGGGGGGGGGGTAATTGTACATCTCCTGCTCTGTTTTACCTGCATTCTGCCATATATTTCATGTGAAAGCAGTTTTGGGTGATGACCCAGTCCATATTCATTTTAAGAACACTTTCACGGCAGATTTGACAAAATGCAAAAAAAGGTACCAATGTAAGATTTTTAAAAATAGCTTCAGCATGTGACCCAGGTGAAACTGTAAATGAGAACTAGTCAGCATTATGTCCTGCAACTTGGAACCAACTTTGTCTGTCTGAGCATCTGGCTGAACAAGTTGGACTGAGTGGACTTGTACACTTAGAAGTTTTACATTGTTTTGGTTTTGAATACAGGATTGGGTTTTTTTTTTTTTAATATAATTTTACCTTTCTAAGTTCAACTTTCATTATGAAGAGATTGTACTGCAGAACTTGTTTTAGATTAACTGAAAATGGTGTTTCTTTTGTATTTACATAGAGCAAGTATTCATAACCAAAGTGAGCACTGTACACTTTGTATTTATAGAAAACATCCAAAAATACTTAGAGACTTTTTTAAATAGCTGAATAGTCCTGTTTGGAATACTATTTGAAAATGGTATCTTGGCTATAGATTCCTGAACCTATTGCACCCAATTTAGAAGTTATGCCAACACAGAACTATTGGGCTGATGTTTAAAGTACAGTAAAATGACAGGGCTCAATCCTATCTTTGTACACCCAAGCACACATTGCTGAAGCAGACGTGAATGGCACCCGCCACTTAGCAGTGCAGATCTACTTTTAGAGATAAATGTGGAAGGCCCAGGTTTATAGTATATTATTAGATTTGTATTAAAGAAAAAATCTACTACACTAACTTGTGTATTAAAAATTTCCACCTTCACTGGATTTACTCTATTCTTGTTACAATAAAGAGTACAGTATTCAGGGCTGGCTCTAGACACCAGCAAATCAGAAAGGTGCTTGGGGTGGCACTTTGCCAGTGGCAGCATTTCAGGTAAGCAGCTGGTGCTGCCCCCGGCCCTGCCGATTTTAAAGGGCTGCGGCCGGGAAAATGCCATGGCTGCGCAGACAGTTGGCACCAATGAGTGCCCGGAACCTACTGGCTGCCCCTGTCTCCTCTCCTGCTCCTCCCCAGCGGTCGCTAAGCAGCCGGCGCCACCCACGGCAATGCCCATCCCTGCCCCACTGATTTTAAAGGGCCATCGGAGACACCACAGCTGCGCAGCTAGGGTTACCAGGTAGACCCTCCCCAAAATACCAGACACACTTGATCGTGGGCGTCAGGGTTCGGCCGGGAGGAAGGGGGGCGGGAGGCAGGGCTGGAGGGGGTGAGGAGTATCAGTAAGCAGCCGGCGCCACCCACGGCAATGCCCATCCCTGCCCCACTGATTTTAAAGGGCCATCGGAGACACCACAGCTGCGCAGCTAGGGTTACCAGGTAGACCCTCCCCAAAATACCAGACACACTTGATCGTGGGCGTCAGGGTTCGGCCGGGAGGAAGGGGGGCGGGAGGCAGGGCTGGAGGGGGTGAGGAGTATCAGGGGCCATTGGGCTGTCCGGGAGGAAGGGGGGCGGGAAGCAGAGCTGGGGGGGAGTCAGGGACTGGGAGAGCTGGATGGGGGGAGAAGGGGGGGGCGGAG